AGAATATAATAATCAAGATGTCTTTAGAAAGAAGGGGTTTAATATTTTGTAAAGATAGTCATTGATAAATATAATAAACCCTATGCTTTGGTCAGATAAGAAATATCCATGTAATAAAGGAATCTGACAAAGTTGTAAAAACTGACGCAGAATGGAGAAATATGTTGCAGCAAGCAAGAATGTACGTCGGATCAATCCAAGTGAATATGGATTAATCCATGTGAACAATGCAAATGTTTTACCTTTTGACCTGCAACAAGGAGACTTGGAAGCCCTTCAACCCACACTGATTCTAACCTAGAATCTAATTAATATTACAAAGGTTTTGTTGGTTTGAGATTTGCATGACTTTGTTCGTTTGAATTTGTCAATATGATTTGAGAATTTTTGTCTTGATTGATTTTTTTGCTGTCCGTGAATCTGTTCACCTCCTCTCATATTTATAGAGAACTATGGAATGAGGTTTTCTTTTATTTTTAACCTTTTAAAACTGGGCGGCAGATCTTTCAAAAAGATTTTCCATTTCTCTAATACCACAAAAAGGGGAATTTAATGTTCTGGCAGAGCCGAAACCATCAACAGTCAGCCTCTATGATGGTCTTTTCATAGCTTTTCTGGCGAACAACTCTCCTGTCCCCTGCTTTATTTCTTGAAAAACACATCTTGTTTAAATGTAGAGCCCTTTGTGGGTATAGAAAGGCAACTTGGTTGTCCTTTTCTTCTGGTCATTTTGAATGGTTTATGAGGAGTGTTCTTCTGGTTAACCTACTTTCATCAACTCCCCATCACTTCCCTAGTTGAAAATTTTGACTTTCAACGTCACATGGGCCTTTTTTTCTGGAAGAGAAATCTTTTCGTAACATCTGCTTTTTGATTCGATTTGAGATCAACGGTGGTTATTAATTTGTTTGGGCTTTTGGAGATCTTTGAAATTGGGCCCATTTTTGCTTAATTGATCTTCAAGGGTTTGGGCTTTCTAAAACCATCTGGGTTGATCTCTGCCTCTTCAAAACAAAGCTAAAAACTCCTTCTTCTGATATGGGCCCCTTTTAATTGACTTGGCGCGTAGAATTTGGGCTCAAATAGGTTTATGGCGGTTTGTTTGTTGCTGAGAGTGGAGGAGTTTTGATTGAATATCTCAGCTTGTATTTTAGAGATATTCGTGATGATAACGTGTTATATAAACTAAGGGGGTGTATTCAATTGAAATTTTAATAGATTCTAATTACATGATTTTAATGTAATAGATTTCAGCATGATTTTTAATTATATGATTTTTCTTATGATTTTAATAGATTGTAATTACAAGATTTTACTTATGATTTTAATTCACGTAGGACTTTCTTGTATTCTCCAAAGTAGATTTCACCAAAGTGTGGATTGGATTCGGGTTAGCCATCTTCCATCCATTAGTTAAAGGATGCCAAGCCTTTAAAGAAATAGAAAGTTGAAGTTACACCAATCTTAGCTCAAGTTATCATTACTATCTGTCATGTATGGCTTTCTTCAAATCATCCTGTTCTAGAGCTAAAACCATAGTGGTCTCAAAATTCAAACATAACTGTCATTAAAGTAAAACCATGCAGCTATTAAGTTTTGGATAGAGAACTTGGTGTCTAGAACTGAGAATTGACATAGGAACAAGCTACAACAAGGAAAAATCTTGAATTAATTGAATTTATAAATATTACAACAGACAAGTTAATTGAATAAATTCAAATAAGAAACTGGACAGCTGAAAACAAAGTCAAAATGGTCCAGCTATGACATGATACTAGTACAGAACACTTGTCCCTCAAATTGATTCCACAATTGACTAAAGAAAGACAAATAAATCAAAGGAAATAAACAAACCGAAAATCTATTGAGAAAAATGCATGCATATTGCATAATATGAACAACTATCGAAAGCAACGTATCTGAAATTATTGTCTAGAAAGGTAAGCCATCTGAGTCTCTTTTTTTATTGGGCAAAGAAAGCCGGGAAACACCTCCTGCAACCAAACAGCCAGGAGAAAAAGAAAACAAAGATAGACTAGAGAAAGCAAAGAAAACAAAGACAACTATCTGAGTCTCTTCACTAAATACAGATGGATCGAGTTTGATTAAACCAAGCCTTTGTAAAGACATGAGTACCTTGTTTATCTTCATTTATTCATCTTCCCCAAAAACAAAAAAACGTGAGAATCAGGCATAGGAGGGTGGGATTCTTTATGGGGTTTGGTATTTATATCACCCACTCAAGAGTCTCACACAATACACCATTTAACGAAATACCTCAAAATGGGTAAGTTTTTTAATACCACTGTACTTTTTCTTATCTTTTAAAAGTCCTAATTGAATACCACAAGACTTGAATTGATTATTTAAAAATCATAATTGAATACCACCAGACTTTTATTGATTACTTAAGAATTCTAATTGGATACCACTGGACTTTTAAGCTTCAAAACAATCTATTAAAATCTCAATTGAATACACCCCCTAAAGAGATTGTAGAGAGAATTTAGAGACCGAGAAAATATAGGATCAATTCCTATAGCTCAAATCTTATTGAATCTTTGTTCTATTTATTACAATAAAGGGAGGAAGTCCATTTAAAGGCAAAGTCTCTTGGCTTCCTGTGGATGTGCAATTATGTCTTCCAATATGCGGATTCCACTTCCACAACACTTTCATCTTGATATTCTTCATTATTTCCAAATGTGTGGGCTCCACTCAATACTTTACAACACAAATATCATGATATTCTTCATTATTTTCAAATGTGTGAGCCCCACTCAAGACTTCACAACACAAATCCATTTATTAGCAAAGGCAAACAGTGGACCAAAACTTCCATTATCCTTTGCGGGTCATACTAGGGAGACCAATTTGGGATACTAACTTGCAGCGGCGGACCTAGGAATTTTTCAGCGGAGGTGCAATTCTTAAAAGCTAAAAGCTCAAACAAAAAAAACAAAAAAGGACTCAAGAAGGAAAAAAAAATGCAGGAATCTTGTGATGCACACACACTTTGGGTGATGTTAAATTGGGTTTTTATCAAGAGAATTCTCAATCCCACTTAAACAAGAAATTCCCAAAACGTAAATTGAATAAAGAGAAGTTCCAATTAAAACCCAATTAAGTAAGAATTATAAAAGCCTTTTTCTTTTGTTTTTTAAACCCTGGTCCAAAACGGCGTCGTTTTTTCCATGCTTTTTTTTTTTTTTTTTTCTGTTTTTAAAAAGGAGGTCTCCACATGCGGTAAGAACAGTGGCAAGGATGTAATCATCCACCTCAAAACCCTCTGTTCGCATCCGATACATGAGCTTCTCCTGGCAGAGACCATTCTTTGCATAACCCACTATCATAGCCTTTCAAGAAACCAAATTCCATTCTGGCATGCTGTCAAAAACTTGAAATGCCTCCGTTATATAGCCACATTTTGCATACATAGAAATCAAAACGCTACCCACAAAAACATTAGACATGGCAGGACTTTTATTTGCAGAGGAGTGAATCAATTTCCCGTGCAGATGCTTTCAAAGCAAATGAGTAAGTAAATGAGTTGGGCTCCACCCCATCCTCCATCATTTCATTCAAGAGCAGCGCAGCAACACAGCAGCGCAATTCACTTGCGCATTTCATCGAACAGCCATAGGTGTACCCTCATCACTATCCTCAATGCTTGACACGTGTCCATAGACATAACCATAGTTAACTTTTGCTTTGTATTTATGGAATCATGATTATACCTATGGACACGTGTCAAGCATTGAGGATGGTGATGAGAGTACACCTATGGTTAAATTGGTGGGCAAAAATACTCCCATTGTTTGGTCCCTCCAAGAATAAACATTTGTATCCATCGCCTCTCTGCTCTGCCCAAGAGATCTTGTGTATCTTTATGCAAAAATTTAATCTCTTGATGCTTTCACGTTTTAATTTTATAACATCAAATTATTTCAAACTTAGTGATAATTAATAGTTATGGTTTAATCATAGATGATCAATAATGTACGTCAAAAAGATATTGCCTTAATATGATCGGGTGCGGGTCCCTCCAAGAATAAATATTTGTATCCATCGCCTCTCCTGCTCTGCCCAAGAGATCTTGTGTATCTTTATGCAAAAATTTAATCTCTTGATGCTTTCACGTTTTAATTTTATAACATCAAATTATTACAAACTTAGTGATAATTAATAGTTATGGTTTAATCATAGATGATCAATAATGTACGTCAAAAAGATATTGCCTTAATATGATCGGGTGCGGGTCCCTCCAAGAATAAATATTTGTATCCATCGCCTCTCCTGCTCTGCCCAAGAGATCTTGTGTATCTTTATGCAAAAATTTAATCTCTTGATGCTTTCACGTTTTAATTTTATAACATCAAATTATTACAAACTTAGTGATAATTAATAGTTATGGTTTAATCATAGATGATCAATAATGTACGTCAAAAAGATATTCCCTTAATACGACCGGCTGTGGGTCACGACACTATTCTTTCTCTTCTCTCTCTCTCCCTAGCATTTTCCATATAAATAACATACAGTTGTGCATGGTTACTATTCCCATATCTCATTTGACTTCTCTTCTCTCACTCTCCCTAGCATTTTCCATATAAATAACATACAGTTGTGCAGAGTTACTATTCCCATATCTCATTTGATTCTACCATCAAGAAACTGCGCACCCATGGAGTTTTCTCTTTCATATCTCACATCTTCTTCTCCATCTATCATCTTTGCCTTTTTACTATTTCTCTTCTCTCTCTTATGCATATCTAAATATTACCAAACTAACATAGCCAAGAAGAGAGCACCTCCGGAAGCACCCGGGGCATGGCCCCTAATCGGACACCTTCCCTATCTAGGAGGGCCTCGGCCTCCCCACATAAGCTTGGGCAACATGGCCGACAAGTACGGACCAATCTTCACAATCAAGCTAGGCGTGCACCGAGCTCTTGTTGTAAGCAACTGGGAAATAGCCAAAGAGTTCTTCACCACCAATGACAAAAACTTTGCCACCCGCCCTAAATTTTTGGCTGCAGAGATCATGGGCTATGACTATGCCATGTTTGGTTTTAGTCCCTACGGCCCTTATTGGCGGCAAATGCGCAAGATAGCAACCGTGGAGCTCCTCTCAAACCACCGGTTGGAGTTGCTCAAGCCCGTGCGTGAATATGAGGTTCAAGCTTGTACAAAACATATATATGATTTGTGGGAGGAAAACAAAGGTAGGTCAGAGAAAGTGTTGGTGGAGATGAATAGGTGGTTTGGAGACGTGACTTTGAACGTCATGTTCAGGATGGTTGTGGGGAAACGATTTCTTGGGGCAAAAACAAAGCAAGAGGAGGAAGAGAACGAGAGGTGTCGAAAGGGGTTGAGGGATTTTTTCAAATTGGGGGGTGAGTTTGTGATCTCGGATGCACTTCCGTTTCTTAGGTGGCTAGATTTGGGTGGGTTTGAGAAGGCCATGAAGAAGACGTCTAAAGATCTTGACGTTGCCCTTCAAGGATGGTTGGAAGAGCATAAGCAAAAAAGAAGTAACTATGGGAATGCAAGGGCTGAGCATGACTTCATGGACATGATGCTTTCTGTTTTCGATGAGATAAATGCAGAGGTTCCAGCTTCTACTAGTACATCTGCTGATACAATCAACAAAGCTACTTGTCTGGTATATACGGGGTTTCATTTATTTATTTATTTTTATAAAAGTAATATTGGGTGAGGGCGCAATCGAAACTATAAGATATCTGGTGCAGGAGTAAATACTCTTAACCATTTGAGCTACAGCTTGCAATATGTGCCGGGGTTAATATTGTTTAATTAATGTCATTGTCATGTGCTTAATTTGCAGGCTCTAATTTTAGGAGGAACAGACACCACAACAGTGACATTAACATGGGCTCTTTCTTTACTATTGAACAACCGTGAAGCCTTAAGGAAGGCTCAACATGAATTAGACATGCAAGTTGGTCGGGAAAGGCAAGTGAAGGAAACAGATGTAAAAAACCTAGTTTATCTCCAAGCCATTGTCAAAGAGACCATGCGACTATATCCAGCTGCACCACTTTCTGTTCCACATGAATGCATGGAAGATTGCACTGTGGCAAGCTATCATGTAAAGGCCGGGACGCGCCTTCTAGTCAATCTTTCCAAGATTCAGCGAGATCCAAATGTCTGGGTCGACCCTGACCAATTCCAACCAGAAAGATTTCTTACAACTCACAAGGATTTTGATGTTCGAGGCCAGAATTTTGAGTTCATGCCATTTGGAAGTGGTAGGAGAATATGCCCCGGAATTTCTCTGGCTCTTCAAGTTGTACAACTTACGCTGGCTCATTTGTTACATGGGTTTGAAATTGCAACTCCATCAGGTTCAGATGAACTAATCGATATGGGTGAAACGCTTGGGATAACCAACATGAAGGCCACCCCAGTTGAGGTTCTTCTCACCCCACGCCTTCGTGCTCATCTTTATGAATGTGTTGATTAGAGATGATAGAGGAAATATATTGTAGGTTGGTTTTGTAATTTCCTAAAGAATATTGGTTATTTCTTGCTTCGATATTTCTTTATCAGTAATGCTATTTAGACACAAAAAATTGACCACTCAATAATCAGGGATGGACCCTAAGTTTGGCTAACATGGGTTATAGCCCAGGTGGCTTCTATTTTCCAGCCCAAAAAA